GCGTCGACGATTCGCGCCCTTCCCTAGCGACCAATGCATATTCGGCCGGAAACTTTGCGAAGGAGACTCGCGGATTTCGATGGCATTCGGGGAGGGGAGGTCCTCGAGTTGAGTCGCTTGATGGTGTTAAGGATTTAAGTCTCGGTGAGATTTTGAAGGATCGAAGAGACAATGCATCGTCTTGAATTTGAAGAATTACGAGAAAAATTCTTCGGAATATCTCAATAATTTTGAATCTTTGAATTTTTTTTTTTAAGAGTTTTTCTAGGAATAAGTTCGATTGATCGAAAATTTTTTTCGAGAGTTTCGATATTCTAGGATTATAAAAATTAAATAATTTTCTGAATCTTTGAGCATGTTTGAAAAGATTTGACCATTTGAAAATTTGGAAATTGAGAATTTTTGATATTCCAGGATTATAAAATATAGAAGTTTTTGAATTTGAAAATTTTAGATATTGTAGAACAAAATTAAATATAAAATTGAAAAGTTTTCTCAAACTTCAAATTTCTCTAAAACATTTACAGATTCAAAAATTTAATCATAAATTTGGAATTCGAAAATTTATAAAAATATTTGGAAAAACTTTGAATTTCTTCTCGTATTCGATTTCAAAACTTTAAATATATTAAAAAAAAGAAGAAAAATTCTTCAAAACTTCGACAATTCGGAAATCAGGGAAAAATCGAAGAATTGGAAGTTCTCGTAATATCCTCCGATCCTTCTAAGATTCCTAAAAATAACTCTTTCAAAACTTCCCAACTCGTGCGCGATTCCCCTTCGATTCCGAACACAATTCTCGCTTATCGAAACTATACTCCACTCTACCCCCTTCCCTTCCCCTCCCTTACGAAAAAAACTTGCAATTTTCGCGCACACGGGAGAAGAAGGATGGATCGATGAAGCAGTTTGACGAAGGACGCGGATCGTCGAGTGTCGTACGATATACGCAATATACACAAAAGAGAGACAATATAAGGAGAGAGAGAGAGACGATAAACAGAGAGTACAAAAAATTACAATCTACAGGGCCTATGTGATCGAACGTCCATGTACGAGAGAATATAGAAATATTCGTGTGTACTTTTTTTTGTGTCCATTCGTGTATACGTACATAAAACTCGTGACAGAAGAGAGAAGAAAAATCGCAGAAATCGAGAGAGAGATAGAGAGATAAATAGATAAAGAGAGAGAAACGAAAAGGAGAGACACGACAGAGATAAGAAAGTATATGTGGTTGTGTATACGTGTATGTATATATGTATATATATATATATAGTGGAAAGAAAAAAAAGAAGAAAGAAAGAAAGAAAGAAACAACCATTGGAAAGGAAAAAATGACAAACGTGACAGCAATATAGAAAAATATTCGAGCGTATATATATACGACATCGTGATGCATGTGCATACATACACGCGTACACGGACACGCGGAAATCCCTCCATTGGCGGATGCGCGTGTGCGAGAGGAATCATGTGCCAGTCCACGATTCCATTCCGTTTATTTCGTTCCTCACGTGTGCACCTGGAGACGAGCGTGCTCGTTCAACCTGCGCGCGTGGACTGACCTACGAATGGGACGACTTAAATGCCGAAGATCGAACTTCTCTGTTCTCTGAGAGGTATAAAAAAGATTGGAAAAAATTTCTCTCTTTATCGTTTGCAATCCTTTTCTTTTTTTTCTCTTGAAATAAATTTTCGAAATCTCGAAAAAGCTTCTCGTCTCGTTCGAATTGATTCGACGTGCACACGCTGCACCTGCCGTACAGTGTACACGCATACACGTATGTACATCGATTACACGTACGTGTATATAATATGTATATACGTAACAAATATGTAATATATATATATAAAGGTAGATATATATAGGTGTGTGTATATATATATATATATGTATGTAGAACAGTCAATAACCAGTCACAAAGTACCTTTTAGTCGAGTTTAGCGAGCTTCTCTCTACGCTCGGGTTCAGACTGAAACAGAGATCATCACGCGTCATTTTTCACGCGAACCATTAGACACGCGGATGGATCGAAAAGGCTGCTTTGCCATCGATCATCGATCCCGTGGATCGCTCGAGAATTTCTCCTTCTTTGGATGGATCTCCTCCTCCTCCTCCCCTTCTTCTTTCTTAAAATTATCTTTTTTCTTTCTGTCCTGTGAAACTCCTATGAATCTTGAACTAACCCACTTTTTTCAGCGTCTTAATTTTAAATGAAGTACGTATAATCGAATCCGTTGATTTTAAATAAGAAAATAAATAAAAATGTTCGAAATAATTCGAAATAATGAATGATTAATTTAAAAGTTACGATTATATTATTTTCCTATAAACCAATATAAATATATCATTTCATTAATCAATTAAATAAAAAAAAAATAGCTTTACAATTACTCTTCTTTTCATACTCTTTTTTTTTTCCATCCCCATTCTTCCAATCCTTCCAAAAAATAAATTTTTCGAGAGAAAGAGAAAAGAAAAGAAACCATTTCGGATTACCACCCATTAATTCGCGAGATATTATCCCATCAATTTTCGCATCGCATCGAAAAGGTGGGTTAGCCATTTCTCTCTCTCTCTCTCTCGGTTCGATTCAGGGAGTTGGCGAGAGAGAAAGAGGGAGGAGGAGGAGGCGGAGATCGAGATCCAGCAATCCCCGGAGATCGATCTACTTACATGATGCCCGATGGCTGAGCTCGGTTTGGGTCTATCGCACACTGGACACACATTCGAGGCGCCAAATCGCCGACGATGCACTCTCGAGCTCGGTGGCAACGAGGATGGTGGTGGTGACGCGTTAAAAGGCGCATGGAGGAACACTTCCGGAATGGGAGGGGGGAGCGTGACAAGGATCACGAGCTTACCACTAGCGTCGACCGATTTCTTTTTTTTTTTTTTATTTTCTGTCTCCGGGATCTTAAAGGGATTTCGAAGGGATTGAAGCGACGGAACAGTGGGCAAAATTTAATAAATAGTCGAAGTTAAAGAATAAAGTTACCTCGATAATAATAATAACTATATATAATGGCAAATGGTTTTAGAAGCGAATATAATTGCAACGAGTAGCTACAATGTTAAATATTAATTTCATTTTAACAAACGATCGTTCAAAGTAACTTTATATAGAGATTTTTAACTTCAACCAGAAGAGAAGGAGGGATTCGATGCCCAATTCTCTTACGCTTCGTTTTTGACGCGGATAACAGAGAAAGCGTCTTCGAGCGAGATAAAACGATATCTCTCGAACCAAATAAATTTCTCGAGGCGAGAGAGGATTATGGCACGTTCAATGTGAAACGTGTACGCGTATAACATAATGTATCTTCGTCGATATCCGCCACGAGAATTCCCCCGCAACGGACGTGTTTATTAAAAATATCAAAAATAAAAAAATCGATCGTGCAACGATACAATACGTGCGAAAAACCTCGTCGAGAACGATTCTTTCGTGTGGCGCGAGATTCGGGAAAAGGCGGGAAATTCAAAAAAACGAATCGTGGACACCGAGCTCATTCGTCCCACGATCATTTTCGTCAGCGGCGTACAGAAACGGAAGGGGGAGGGGGATCCCTCTTTCCCCTCCTTTATCTCGCTCGCTTCCGGAATTCTCGAGGCACCCGATTTTTAGCATTATTATTATTAATATTATTATTATTATTATTATTATTATTATTATTATTATTATTATTATTATTATTATTATTATTATATTAGTGAACTCGTCAGGAAAAAAAAAAAAAAAAAAAAAAAATCAAGCGGACAACGAACTGAAGCGCGAGAGACACTGAAAATTTATTTTTTTTATTTTTTTTATTATTATTATTATTATCGTTATCATTATTATTATTACTATTATTATTACTATTATTATTATCTCTGGTGACAATTTCCATTTGGGATTGGTAGGGCGGAATAAACAGATTTATATATATATATAGAGAGAGAAAAAGAGAGATGATGTATACACGTGTTGGGGGAGGGGGGAGAGAGAGAAAGTTAGATATGTTAACTAGGGGCAGATAGAAGGGGGGGGGGGGTTGAGACGAAAGATTTCAAAGGGGATGAAGGCACGAGATATCGCAATCCCCTTTGGACAGTCTTCTTGTGTTCTTTGTGTCTTTAGCCCGTACTTCCGGTCTAGCGAGTATGCAGAGTACTTACAGTATAGGACTTCCCCATTAATAAAACGCTACGTTAAAAAAAGAAAACTCGCTTTTTTTCGAGCGTGTATATATACATATACTTTTTTTTCTTCTCAAAGGGTTGAAAATATTTTATTTTTTTATTTTTTTTTTTTTTTTTTTTTGGGATGGAGGGTGAAGCTTGAACGCGAGAACGATTGAAAGGTTCGTTCCACAGGCGACTTTTCCCTTTTCTTCGAACTTGCCTTCGCCATGTAATCGATTCTGCGTTGCGTGATTTTTCGTTTTTTTTTTTTTTTTTTTATTATAGATAGATCTGGTTCTAAATTAGAATTTTATAGTGATCAAAGTAAAAAGCGCGAAATTAATTGACTGACTCGAAGGCAGTCCATAGAGAAAAAGTGTCTGTAATGGAATCTTTCGCTTTTCCAATTTTCTAATAAGTCCCAAAAATGGGGTCCAAGTTAATTAAGACGCCTCCAATTGATCCTATCTGTTAGGCTGATGGAGGATCTCTCTCACGGTTTTTCAGGGGAAAACTTCTCAAACTACCACTCAAAAATAAAAATTCTTCGAAATTTTTTCCACTGTCTAGTATTTATTCTGTATTAAAAAAAAAAAAAAAATAAAAAGGAGAAAAAAAAAATCTGAAAAAAATTTAAATCGTAAAAAATAGGATTAAAAATACACCCGGAGAGATCCTGCATTTGGAAGTGGCCAGCAATTGCCGACAGGTAAATAATCCACCAGCCGTATCATCAAATTCGAGAATCGACAGCTTCTTAAGCACGATCTTCGGTCTATATATTTACGAGATATCTCGACAAAAAGGGATCGCTTTTATCGACACATACCCGTCTGCGAGTGCGGCGAGTCCATTCCACGGTGACCGTCCTCGGGCCTGAGCACCGGCGAGAATGTCGGCGCGCTCGACACGGATACCGTCGGAGGCTTTTCAGTCTTGTCGTTCCTTATGAGCTGATGCACCGGTGGCGGGCCTGTGAAGACAAGAAAGAATTCCAAAATTCGATTGCAATTCGTTGCAAATAATTTGGAAATTTTAAACGAAAGCGAAGATATACACCCTAGGAATATTTTCTCGTTTCGTATGCTCGAAGCGCTAGGGACTTTTAGGAACTTTTCTAAAACTTAACATTCCAGGCTAGGAATTTTTGCTCGATACAAGTTGAAGCAAATCGAAATTATACAGTAATCTTAGGTTTCCGTTTTCCGACGAGATTCGAAGTGTTCTAGGGAAATTTTTCTAGGAGCTCGTAGCTCGCTTCAAGTTTGTAACGTAATCCGTTTCGAGGTCCTGGAAAGATTACGCGGATGTTACGATAAATTACGAAGGAATTTGGAGAGGTGTTGGTAGCGATCTTCGATTGTTTCTGATCGACATTCGAGCAATATTCGAGATCGCATTTACGAGAGAATATGCATCGAGAGATCGGGGTCGATCCGTGAGGGGGGAGGGGGACAGGCATCCCTGTCCCCTCCCCTCCCTACTTCATATTCTCCTCTGCATCATCCGCATTGAAACGAGGTAACAAAGAAGGTAAAAGTATCTCCCTTTCACAAAGATATTTCCGTCTTCTTTGAATATTCAAATCGAAAATTCTACACACAACTCGGACCAAATTGTACAGGATTGCTCGTTTATTAATTATTATTATTATTATTATTACGAAAAAAGCGCGTCTGCCCAAATTGAACAATCTAATTCATCCGTCTACTTTAAAACGTTTCGATATTTCACGATTCAAAAAATTATTTTCAATCCTGTTCGATATTATTTCAAAGAAAATTTATATTTTGTTTACAACAGTTGCAAAATAAATAAATAAAAATATTCTCCCTCCCCCCTTTCTTTCGTCCTACAACAACTCCGTTTCATCGCTCGATTCGTTCATTTAATATCCTCGTCCCAGTTTCGATCGTTCTAAAAAAAAAAAAAAATATAAAATTATAAAATTATCACATTTAGAATATTCAAACGAAATAAACGAACAGCTCTAATAATTCTCGAGAAAAAAAAGAAATTCACCCCATTTTCGATCCTTCTATAAAAAAAAATACGAAAAATTATCACATCTACGATATTTAACAACAATAAACAACTCTCTGATCAAAAAAAAAAAAAATAAAATAATAATTAAACCTATTTATAATTAAATCTATTTATAATTAATCAATATTAACCTATTTATAAATGCACCCACCAATCCTTTCTCTTGGAAAATTTTACCCCCTCCCCCTTCCCAATCTTCCAAAATTCCATCCCATGCGAAAAAGAAAGACTCCTCCTCCTTTTCTTCTTTTTTTTTTTTTTACAAAAATTCGCACGCGTCCAAAGGAGAGAGAGAGAGAGGGAGGGGGAGGGGGAGGTGGAGGGAAGGAGAGCGCGAGATTCGTTCTTGCGCGGCCAATAAAATTAGCCTCGTTCACAATAAACGCGCGGCAACGATATTTACGCCGCCTGTTAATTTAACGACAATACAGTCAATCAAGTGTCCCGTTCCCGCGCCATAAAGCCAAACGTATGTATGATAAAAAGGGAGCAGCAGACCAAGGGGTGGGGGAGGGGGGGAGGAGGAACGGGGTTGGCCCTGGTCCAGCTATGCTTATTGCCGGAATTTTTCCACCCAACCCCTTCTAACTCCCTCCCTCCTGCCTATCTTCCTACCTATATTTGTGTGTATATGTGTGCGTGCGTGCGTGTGTGTGTGCGTGCGTGCATTTTGCTCGAGAAAGTGGTCATTTTATCCCGTCCCGTCGTAAATCCCGTCTATCCGCCGCCGTTGCAACCTCCCCCCCTCCCAAAGGAAACTTTCCGCCCCCCCTCCCCTCTCCGTTCAAGTCTTAACTCGGTTCGTCTCCCCCCTCCCCCTCCTCTCCCCGACCTCGTACGTTTCTTCATCTCTTCGTTCAACTCCTCCTCCTATTCCTAATTGAATATACTTTGTGTACTTCTTCTTCCTTCCTGCGATTTCGAGAGGGGTTGCAAGGGGTTGCAAGGGGTGCGGGACGTAGGGAGTGCAATTTTTTGTAAATTCCGTTCGATCGGGTTCGGTAGGAGAAAAATTAGGATTAGAAATATTTTTACGGATTATTCTCAGATCTATCTAATCGTGCTTTCTTTCTTTTTTCTTCTTCTTTTCAAAAAATTGTGAAAAGGATGTTCGATACCTTCTTTCCGAGTCCGTTGATTTCGCGGCGTGTATACGTATGCGGGAGGAGGGACGGTTATCGTTTGATCGATGAGGGATTGGAGGAAAAGGGTGAAAAAAGGGAGGGGAGAAAAAGAATCGAGAATGGAAAGAAAATAGAAAAAGGCAGGTATATATATGGAGAGAGAGAGAGAGGGAGAGAGAGAGAGAGAGAGAGAGAGGGAGAGAGGGAGGGAAGAGGAAGGGAGGTAGAGGAAATGATCTATAGAACGCTGAGCAAAGTAGATCCCGATAACAAAGGACCGTGCGATAAGCCGACGGGATGAGATTGGAGAAAGAGAGAGAGAGAGAGAGAGAAAGGGAAAAAAAGGAATCCCGAACCATTGGGAATTTGTTACTCGAGCCCGCGAGTAAGGTGAATTCAATTCTGGCAACCTTCTTGGGTGAAACGTTACACGTTACGAATTTATTATTATCGTTGTTGTTGTTGCTGTAGAGAGACGAAAGTATATACACGTGTAAGTATTTTCTCTTTTTCTCTCTCTCTTCATAAAATGTACACAGTTAATAATAAATTTTTCATATATATATATATATACATATTTCGACGTCCGTATACTTTATATTTTGTCATCAATATACAACTAACGTAAATCTATCTATCCGTTTTAACTTCAATCTTACCTTTCATTGTTTCAACATCTTACTATATTCTCGTCGAAATATACGTTGTCGTCCGAACGGATTTAATAACGGGACGATCGAACCACCCCGTTCTACTCGTCACAAGAACGAAGTTGGAAACGCCTTTATTAGAATACGCGTATCGTGCATTTTTACAGGAGGCGCGTAACCGTTGATTCCGCATAGTTGGTAGCCGGTGTCCTCGAACGGTTTAATTTTAGTGGGCGCGTAGAAAAACGATATAAAAATACCGTGTGAAATCGCGGTTTCGCAAACGCGGCGACGGACACGAGAATGTGGGTGCGCGTGGTGGCGGGCAGGGAGGGGGTGAAGGGGTGCATCGTACCGTGACGCAATGGCGACCGATTGCACCGCGGCGCGCGGACTCTATTCTGAAAAGGAACGGGATCTCGGGACGCGTCTCGATCTGTGCACTATCCCACGCACGCGGAATTTCGCCGTCAATTTCGCCAATTTCTTATCTCCCGAAAACGCCGATCGATTTTACACACGGCACTTTCGTTCGAGTCACGATGTTCAGATATTTGCAATTGGAGACTCGAAACTTGAAATTTCTTGATTCCGTTTCGATGTCTTTGAATTTAATTTAACACAACGTTTTCGATTTAAAAGTGTCTTGCAAGAAAAATTTTTAATCCCCTCGAATCGTAACGATTATACTTCGATTAGAGGCGCTTCGAATCTTCGAAACCTTCCAATTCCAGTTAACCTTTCTAAATCACTGATCACTAATCCGTTGCTACTAATTTAAAAAAAATCTTTATCAATCTCTCTTTCTCTCTCTTGCTCCTTCAACCTCGAGTCTCAACTGACCACGGATAATAATAAGTACCTAGATACGTACGTATCTAGCTACTCTCTCGCATGACGTCGTTCACGTGTGCCATCGCTCGGGAAAAAAAGAAAGAAAGAAAGAAAGAAAGAAAGAAAGAAAGGAAGGAAGAGAAGGACGGAGACGGAGTGCGAGCCGGAGAAAAAGAGAGAGAGAGAGACGGAGAAGGACCGGGTGACAGCGCCGTGCATCCACACTAAAAATAAGGACGAAACGTAGAGAGAGAAAGAGAGATAGAGAAAGAGAGAGAGAAAGAGAGTTTTGAAACTTACTGAAGCTAGCCGCTGGCTGAGCATGATCCGCGGCCGTGGCTGCGGACGGAGGGGTGTAGCTGCTGCAGTAGTACGGCGGGTGCTCTATTTTGATCGCGTTTATTTGAGGCTGCATGTCGCTGAGGTCATGCAGTATGGACGCTGAAACCAGACACACATTAGCGGTTACGGATCCTCGCGCGTTCGTACGTCATCCGTTTTTCTCCTCCTCGTCCGAGTCTGAGTCTGAGTCGTCGTCTTCGTCGTCGTCGTTTTCGTCCTCTTGCGGTCTCGATTCCCCGAGGAAATCGCACTTCCGCGCGTTTTCCTCCTTCGAGAACCTTTCCCTCCCTACCCCTTCGAAAGGAAATTTTTTCTTTTTTTTTTTTTTTCTCCCCACGAATCTTTTTTATATAAGATATAAAAGTAGTAGATGGTAATCGATTTATCCCACGAGTTTTCTTATACATTCCTCAGAGATTCTTCACTCACATTTTCAATATTTTCGATTCGCCTCGAATTTTTTAAATTTTCATGATTACACGTGCCCTCCCTTTCTCGTCTCGAAGCTATCGAAAATCATAAGTAAACGCGAAGGGGATCGATTCTTTCCATACACATACATACACAAACATATATACATATATATATATATATATATATATATATATATATATACGATTTAATTTCTTCCCCTTTCTTCGAAATTAATTCCAAAACGGGTCAAAACGCGAAATAAAATTCTAGAATATCGAATCTAAGAAAAGAAACTAGATATTTGTTATAAACTCGCTCCACGAAACTACGATTTATCGTACTCGCGATCACACCCGACCGAGGACAATCTCCCTTAATCCGTTTCAAGATCCACCGCCCGATCAAACCGTTCCCCACGGACGATTTAATACCTCCAATTATCCGTCGATTCCTCTCTAAATCGTGTTGCCTGTCGCGAAGTCGCGCGAACCGTGGGGGATAGACAGAGAGCGAGCGAGCGAGCGATCGAGCGAAAGAGAGAGAGAGAGCGAGCGAGCGAGAAAGAGAGAGAGAGTCGTCCGTAAACGCACAATCGTGTTCCAGGAGGGAGAGAGAAAGAGAGAGAAAGGGGGGATCGGTTAATTAATCGTGGTGCCGGCCATTAGAATACGCTCCAGTTACACGTTGCGCTGAATCAGCGCCACCGTAAAATAATAGGATTCCAGTTTGTCGCAGTTGGCGACGCGTAAATATAGGGATCTCCCCGTTGGAACGACGGTCAACGACCAATTAGGTTGAGCTAGTGCCGTGGAATTTGCATCTTGTGTAAGCGACTCGGCCTCGTAATGCTCGCGAACCTCGACCCACCCCCTTTCGCCCACCGTGGAGATCCTTGCTGGAGAATGTGCATATATATATATATATATATATATAGGAGTAAATTTCGAAGAATTTTCTTAATCTTTTTTTTCAAACGACATAGTTTTCTTTTCCAACACGTGTCAACGTGTATAAGTGATTCTGAAAAAAAGAGTATATATATATATATATATATAAAAGTAAAGTGTATATCGTGGGTGGTTTATTAGTATAGCACTTCTGATTCTTCGTTCCCCGGTTGAAAATAGGGGAAACGAGGAAACATTTTCGGAAGCCGAGAGAGCTCGCAGCCTCTCCTCTCAGCCTCGGAAATCCTCGAAAGAGGTTCTCCACGGCGAACAAAAGACTTTGCGCCACTTTTTTTCCAATTCCATGTCTCTCTCTCTCTCTCTCTCTCTCTCTTCTCACGAATTTCTCTCGACCCTCTCTCTCCTCCTTCTCCTCTCGATCATCGTTTCCCCATCAATCTCGATACCGCATCGAGGCCGAGGACCGCACGAGGGGGGTTAAACGTCCGACAATGGCTCGCCCCTAACGAATTTTTTTTCCTTTTTTTCCCCCAAAGTTCGCCAACTGGTTCTCCTCGTGCGAGAGAGAGAGAGAAAGATAGAGAGAAAAAACGGTGGATTCGACCGGTGGAAAGGAGGGAGGAAAAAAAGATGAGATAAAAAGGGGGAAAAAAAAAAAAGGAGAAAGAATCAGTGTCCCGACGCCCGCGCGCGATTTTCCACCAATTTTTTTCCAACCCCTCGGATACGTCACTGGTTTTTTGTCAACAATGCGCCTGCACGTGCACGTGTGTATGCCTCGAATACTCGGGAGCAGAGGGAAAATGGTAGTAGGCCCGCAGGGGGGCAGTATTTTCCAGGCATTTCTCTCTCTCTCTCTCTCTCTCTCTCTCTGGCGCGATGTGAGAGGCACGGCACGTATGGTGAATAAAAAAGAAAAAAAAAAAAGAAAAGGGGGCGCAATTTCCGCGGGGGTGGAGGCGTATGATGTGAAATAGAGAAGAATATCCTGTCGGTGGTGATGCTTGGAGACGTGCAAAGACGGGACGACGTAATAGAAACACGCCACCCCTTGGGGGTTGAAGGGATTTCGGAATTTCGAAGATTGGGTAGGAATAAATATATAGAGAAGTGGATGGATTGGTGGAGCGAAGAAATAAGAAACGATTACTTTCCTATTTATTACTGATTTCGTTCAAACATCTTCAAACTCTTCTTAACGTTTCCACGATCTAAGATAATAAAATAAAATTGAAGATGAAGATTTCGTTCAAACATATTTAAACTCGTCCTGACTCGATTACAAATAAAATGCACGATCCAATTTAATAAAATTGAAGATAAAGACTTCGTTCAAACATATTCGAACTCGTCCTGACTCGATTAAAACGAATTCTCGAGCAAAACTGTTTCCTGTTAGATATTTTATCAGATATCAGAAATAAAACGATCCAAGACAATAAAATCGAAGATGAACTAATCATATTTCCTATATCCAAACTCTTAACCTTATCCTACTTATTCTGGAAAAGTCTTTAAAGTAAAAATTCTCGTATTAAAACCGCCAGTGTTTTCTGTGTTTCTTAGTTAAAAGAGAGTGGCATTAGAAAAAAAAAAAGGCGTTCGATCGAGTTGCAAAGATCGGCAGAAGGGAGAGCTGGCTCATCGGAGGGAGAGGAGGCAGAGGCGAGAGAAAGAGAGGCTGCGAGGCTCTCTCAGCAGCCTCTGAGGCCGTGAGCATTGTTCCCCGTCTATTAATACACCAGGTTGCATACTAATCTCCTGCAACGGTGACGCGAGGAGCGGCGGGTGGAGCGGGGAGAGAGTGGCAAAAGGAGGAGGAGGAGGAGGAGTGGAAGAGTGCAGATGCATACGTCGAGGCGTTTCGAGGCTCGCGCCGCTTCTTCAATACGCGTTCCCCTGCCCTATTATTCCATTTAGTGGCGGTGCACGCGTGCCACGATGCTCTCCCTTCGAAGCCCGAAATGAAAATGAATTTCGAAATGATTCGCGAAAATCGACACCTTCCCCCCCCTACCCTCTCTTCTTTCGCCTTTCTTTACAAGAGTAAAGAAGGAAAGAAAGAAACGCGTCCTCCTTTGTTCATTTCCCGGAAGCGCAAGGAGAAGATTTTTGAAGATATTTGAGATTGTTTGAGATTGTTTGAGAAGGTTTGAGAAGTCCTTTTTTCATCCTTCTTCAAGAGAACACCTTTCCCCTTATTTGCTGCTTAGAAGAGGGGAATTTTGAAATTGTTTGAGAATGTTTGACGAAGTTTGAACAAGCTCGAATCGATCGTTTACGTTCGTTTCACCTCTTCCGGTGAATGCCTTTCTTTTAAAAGGTTCAAGACGAGAGATTTTCGATGAAATGTTCGAAAAAAAAAAATGTTTGAGCTTCCTTTCACGGTTTTCACAGTCTTCTAGGTTCTTGGCCGCGCGGGATTATCGGTGACTAATAGAGAAAGAAACGAGGGGATTGGCAATATAACGGCTTCTGTATATGTTCGTGACGGAAATTGGCAGACAATGTCGGGCAATAACACTCGGTTTCACCTGTTCTATCGATGGGACGTGCTTGGAGAAGGTTGTTGGCAACCTTGACCCCCTACTAACCCAAACGCTCGCTCGCTTTTCTCCGCGTCCCTGTTTTTTTTTTTCTTTTCTTTCTCCCCCTCCCCTTTTTCGCCGAACGAAAAATTTTCGGAAAAACCTCTTCGAAAAATTCACGAACTCCCTCTTCACGAACACCGAGAATGGAATAAGGATTCTAAATTTACGATTTCAAAAATCCCCTTCCTCCTCCTCCTCCTCATCCCCCTCGTTCACGTTGGGATTGGTAAATGTCTGGTAACAAGTGGCAGTTCTAATAAGTCGCACGAGATCGCTCTTTCCCGGAGATCGGATTACACCGGCAGGCCGGTGCTCTCCGCCTCGTGCTAACGCGCAAACGCGTGCCAATCGTTCATCGGGTCCTTGATAGCGAAAGAGGAGTAGCGGTGAAGTGGTCCCAGGTATGCCGAAAGGATAACCGAGTCGAGTGGAATCGCGTTCCAATCCCTAATAATAAATCCCTCGTTCCATCGGACGATAAATCAGCATCGATAAAAGAACGTGCTCAAACGATCGTCGTCGATACATCGCGTTTTATCGCGGAGCGAGTTTTCTCTTCCTACTTCATCATCGCGAGGATGCTTTCAAAAGGTTTCCCAGATATCGACTCCCGGTTACGATTACCTTTCGAAAGCATCCGTTCACAAAATATTCTTCTCCGTTCCTCTCTCAGAATCAATCGTTCTTTAATTATTAACTTTCTTTTTTTTTTTTTTTTTTTTTTTTTTTTTTTTTTTTTTTTTTTTTTTGGAAAAAGATCGAGGAGACTTTCAATACCCTAGAGAGAGAGAGAGAGAGAGAGAGATTTATATACAAGCCCCTTTTTTTCTTTTTAATATCATGCGTTGGATGATGAAAAAGAAGAGGATCGTTGTTCTTATTATTTATATCGTCGTACCTTTTGAAAGCATCCAAAGCTCCTTCGAGCTGAAGACACCTGTCGCTAGAATCGTGTCATTGCAGACAACACCGTTATATAGTTCGTGGTAGCCTGCACCTGGGAACAGAAGCCCAGAGAACGGCAATGAGGCGTTGCCTTTCCTCCCATTAATAAACGCGAGAACATTCGTGGAATGTGAGCCGAATGAAAAATTCGAAACTTTTTTTTTGGATTGGAAATTGGGCGGATAGATAGACAGATAAATAGATAGATAGATAGATAGATAAGGGACATCCCCTCCCTTTACCTTTTCGCCGCCTCTCTTCCTCCTTGCTCGCGTTGCAGATGCCGTTTAGGACCTCTGTAACAATAGAACAGGATTCACAGATTAACTTCTTCTCCAAAATATTTTCTCTCTCTCTCTCTAATTTCCCCCCTCCTCCTCCTCCTCCTCCTCCGAAAACTCTATTTTCAATCCCTCGCCCGGATCGAAGAGAGAGAGAGAGAGAGAGAGAGAGAGAGAGAGA